TATACTATTTTTATTCTATTTTAACTAATATTTATTTGTTGTTTTTATTGTAAACCACCCAGAGCCACCGCTTCCTCGCGAGATGGGCGGTGCCTAAATTTGAAATATAAATAAATAAATAAATACATTTGCATCAACTGTGGTAATGCAAGTATATAATGGTGGCATTTGTATGATGATGTCACTGTATGCTTATTGTTCTTTTTGTGTCATTATGGTTTGGTATGGATGTTGCTTGTTGCGTGTGGAAGATTTATTTCATGGGGAAACATCCCACCTTCAGCCTAAATATGCATTGTCCAAAACATATTTTACTAGCCTACTATGATGTAAATTCATTCTTCTCTGTAGTGTTCATTCTAGTACAGGTAGACCTCGCTTATTGACTGCCTTGTTCCGCCACTGTTCGAAGTTACAATGGTGTTGAAAAAAATGATTTTATGACCAATGCCCGCATTTACGACCTTTGGAGCATCCCTCAGTGACGTGATTGCCATTACAGTCATACATGTTGTCCTGTGCCTGACCTGTTGTTTTTCTTTTTTTACCCCCCTTGCAGAGTAGAGACATTGCTTAAGCAAGTGAGGGAGGGGGGAGAAAAAAACCCAAGCAATCGTTTTCCTGTGCCTGACCTGTTTTTTTCTCCCCCCACACAGAGTGAAGAGATTGGAGAGGAAAGGATTACAAGAGCATAAGCAGGCACATAATGGGGAACACACTGGCTGTTTGCAAAGTGTACTCGCAGCTACCAGCCCTGAGCATTGCTTTCGAAGTGTATTCCCCATTGTATGCCTGCTTATGCTCTTGTAATCCTTTCCTGAATGTAAATACAAACATTAATTCTCTTCTTCTAATTATTCCAGCACTCCGGTGAGCATTCCAAAGGGCAGGGGAATGGGGAAAAGGAAAGCACAGTTGCAGTCATGTGATTTTCCACATAGTGACATCTTGCTTAACAACAGAGCTGCCGGTCACAATTGTGGTGGTCGCTAAACAAGGACTACCTGTAATTAGAACTTGGGTGCATTTCACCTCAATAACACTGAATCCTAATAGACCAAAGCAAGTATGGTAGCTTTGAGGATAGGAAAAGAAAAGAGGACCTCACAGCTGAAACTAAAATAACCAGATCTGTGATAAGCATCATAGCTTATAACTGAATACTATATAACTATATAACTGAGGACTATAGAAAACCCTGGTTTGGTTTAATTTCCATTAGCAGGGGGAAAGTTACAAACCAAGTGATTTTAACTCAACATATTGTAATCTAATTCTTTTAAAAAGATCAGATTAAATTTAGGTTTTCACAGGGATGTAATGAATTTTAACATTCTGGTTTTATTCTGTGTAGAAAAATAAATCCGTTTCTGTGGTCAAAGGCAAAAAATATTTCTGGATAAAACTGTTTCATTTCCATCCCTTTTGGAATTTTTTTCCTTCTTAGGGTGAACATGGACACAGCATGAACCATGTCATGAATGTGATGAATAGGGAGCTGATTTAGAGTGAGGGGGATGATTCCTAGATGAGCTACAAAGGTAATCTTCTCCAATCAAGGATTGCATTGCAAATATTGTTTCATAATTCTATATCAGCAAAATCAGATAGAACTACATCCTGGCCTCAGGAAGGGCAACAAAACAAAATCTCAGCTAGAAACAGAACCAGCACCTTCTGTATAGGCTAACCCTTTGATTCCGTTCCTAATGGGTTGCACATACATCGGATGGTGGGAATTCTTTTCAGTTCTGATATAGGTGTTAGGGAAATGTACCTCCTTTTCAACTGAGTTTTTATCTCGGGGGTTCCTAAACTTTTTGCCATCACACCTCCCTTTGGTGTACTGTAATATTAATGTACTCACCTCCCCTAAAAATCCAAACACCAAAATGAACATAAATGAACAATGAAAACAATACAATGAAACTTTGGGAAAGGTGGATTTATTTTAACTATGTACAACTAAAAAGTTCTTCACACCTCTCCTGGACTCTGTCTGCATCTCCCCAAGGGAGGTGCATCTCACGGTTGGGAAACCCTATTTTATCTGTTGTAAACAGTACACTGACTACAAAAGGCTAAAAACA